CGTCCTCGTCCCAGGCGAGCTGAAGAGCAACCCGCGGGAGGATAATCACAGCAGCACCTGGTTCGATCTGTCTCGATATGCTCGGGAGATCTTTGCTGCGCAAGACACCCGACGATCGGTTACTGGCTTCACACTCTGCGGTTCTATCATGCGGCTCTGGGCATTCGACCGACTCGGAGCGGTTACGTCGCAATCATTCGACATACATGAGAATGCGCTGATGTTTATATCCGTAGTCTTGGGGTATCTGTGGATGGCTCCAAAAGACCTCGGGTTCGACCCCACCATCTACGGGGAAAAGGGCAGCAGGTACGTCGAAATCACGCGGGATGCACGACCGGAGCGATATCATCTGGATGATGTTATAAAGCGACAGCGTTGCGTGGCAGGTCGAGCGACGACCTGTTGGGAAGTCCATGGGGATAAATCCGGCCAGTCTTTTGTCGTCAAAGACTCTTGGGAGTATAAAGAGCGGCCGGAGGAGGGGCCTCTACTTAAGAAAGTGACAGATGCAGGCGTGAAAAATGGGGCAGAGTATCACTATCACGAAATCGTTCACGATGAGGGTGCTGTTGTTGATGTCCGCAACAATTTGCGCAAAGGGCTGCGAGATGGAGGTGGGAGATATCTCCAATGTGCTCGGAGCATCGGCAGACAGAGCAACGAAATCCTACCAGGACCAGAAGAGGCCAGAGCGAGGGCGGAAGATGCTAGGAGCGGCCCACACAACTTACCATCATCTCTTTTATTGGCGCGTGTAAATGTAGTTGTCAATTATCAAAGAAGCGCAAAATGGAGTTTCGCACCAGGACGCGGAGACTAGGCCCAGCGGTGCAAGATGTATTTTCCGTGGTCGGCTGATTAAATGGCGTGCCAGGCGCCATGAGTATGCATGCGGAGAATAAATTCTCAGCTGCCTATTACCCGCAGAGAGGAGCGGGTTGTATGACCTCTTGCCTTCAGCAATATGCTCCGAGTCAAAAAGGAAGGCATGAGAGTTGACGTTCGATGAGGCTCTGTGGCTTAGTCGTAGAACTACGCTAGTCGGCAAAACACGGAGAGTAGCGCGTGACAAGACCAGCAACAAATCGGGCCGGAAATTGGAGCCCAACCAGGTGGGTGGTGGGGCAGTCACATGGTCTAGACGTTTGAGCAGATGCCTACCCCTCCGCCAAGATGTGCAAAACTGAACAACGCCTTGAAGACGCCCCCTTCTTCCGCAAAGCTTTTGTTGTCTCTCAGGTAAGCAATGCACCGTGCTCTACAGTTTTCTCCCATTTTTTTTTAACATACTATTTAGAGATCCACGCGGACCTGCCAAAATAAGTAACCCACCAACTCAATCTACCTATACTACCTATGCCATCGCATCTCCAGCAGTTCCCAATAGGTATCGATACGGAACTGGAAAAGTGGGAGATGAAACATGAGACAGAATATACTGCTACAACGGCGCGACCAGATACCCTACAGAAGTGTAGCGCAGAGGGGCAGATGGCTGCCCTGAAAAGTCAGAGAGAGAATGTTCTGATGAAGCAATTTCGAGATGTACGTTTCTCTTAGCCTTCACTAATACACGTATCTAAATATACTAGCTCTCGCAGCGCACAGGAATTTTCCGAGCGGTTGGGCCACCCGGATCATACATAGGGGGCACAAGTGATCAGATAGTTATCCCCATTCGAATCACGAAGGACAGCGTATACATAACCCA